ATTCCTCAATTCAGAAAAGCACCTGCTTTAACCTCAACAAAATAGAGAGAGGATTTATAACACTCCCCAGACGCACTCCAAGTTCTGAGGCACCTCATCACCACCTGACATTAGTGTGAGAAAGTCATGGCTGCACTGGATTAGCTTCCTGAAACAGGAAACAGCCACCCTCTGGATGTGTCTAGACAACAGGGTTTTTTCGAAAAAACTTCCCGTGTCTAGACTGCTGCCATGTTCTTTCGAAAGTAAATCAAAAGAACACGGCAGTTTTTTCGACTGCTGAAAACCTCGTTTTACGAGGAATAATGCCATTTTTCAAAAGTGCTCTTTCGAAAAAAGGTGCTGTGATGCAAACTGTGCTTTTTTGAAAATACTGATTGTAGTCTAGACGCTCTTTTTTGAAAGAGGCTTTTTCAAAAGTATCTTTCGAAAAAGGCTTGCAGTCTAGATGTAGCCTCCGGCAGAACAAGCACTGCTTTCCAGGCCAATCTCTCACAGTACAAGTAGTGACAGGTACATCCCAGTCCCTAAATCCTTGGAGCATTCCTGGCAACATTCAGCCCTTACACAGTGAATACTCATACAATTTAAGACTTACTATTCCCAAAAGGAACACTGCCCACTAGTTTGCTACATTCAAGTCAGGATAACCGCTGTGTTTCCTTCCCCAGAAAAGTTATATTTTTTATAACAAAAACAAAGAATAAGTTCATTGTCAAAGATCAGAGAGCCAAGTGACTGTAATAATATTGGCAACGAATGGTAACCTATAAAGCAAAATCCACACTTTTTAGAGCCATGGCACCTGCGGGGGCATTTGTGTGCGCCTGCCAAGTGCTCAGGGCTAGGCTGGCCCCGGACACGTGGTGCATGCGCTGTGCCGGAGCCAGCCTTGGGCGCATGGTGCACAGTGAGCGCCAGCCCTGGGAGTACGGTGAAGTGGCCACCCGTGCTCCGGGCACGCAGCGCATGGGGAGCGCCAGCCCCGGGCGCATGGCTATGGGGTGGTGGGGGCACCGTCCCTGGGCACGCGGCGAAGCGGCCATCAGTGCTCCTGGTGCGTGGCACATGGGAAGTACCGGCCCCAGGCACGTGGCTCATTGGGGTGTGGCATATACGCGGCCCTGCCCCCCTGGTGCGCGAGTGTCCCCGCCCTCTGGTGCCCGGCAGGTGAATGGCCACAGCCCCTGGTGCCCAGCGATGTCAAATGGTTGGGGACCACTATTCTAGAGACTAACCTTGACTAATAAGCTAGCTGCCTGACCAAAGGATCTGATCTCACACAAGTTCTTTCTAGCATTTTCAGCCAACACTGGCTAACACATTTTGTTCCATGAAATAAACTTACTGTTTACTTCCTAGGTCAGTGATTTCCCACCTTTTTCTCATTTGCAGACCGAAACAGAATTTCAAATGGAGGTGCAGAACCCACTGGAAATCATAGAATACTAGGTTTTATGTGTTTGGGGACACTGGCATCATAGAATCATAGAACACTAGAACTGGAAGGGACATCCAGAGATCAAGTCTGGTCCCCTGCCCTCATGGCAGGACCAAGCACCAGCTAAATCAGTGGTCCCCAATCTTTCGTGGCTGCCGGGCGCCCAGGGGCGGGGCCGCTCACACACTGCGCTTCCAGGGGTGGGGCCACGCATGCGCCAGATGCCCGGGGGTGGGGGCTGCCCATGCACCCTGAGTCCAGGGCCGGCACTGCACGTGCCACACGCCTGGGTCAGGGGCCGCCCACGCACCCTGCGCCGAAACTGTGCATGTGCCACGTGCCAGGGGTAGGGGCTGCCCACACACCCTGAGCCCAGGACCGGCACCACGCATGTGCCGCGCACCCAGGGCAGGGGCCGCCCATGCACCACACACCTGGGGCCAGAACCACGCATGTGTCGCGCGCTGGGGGCGGGGCCAGCCCAGATGTTTCGGCGAGTGCACATAAATGCCCCAGCGGGCGCTATGGCGCCTGCGGGCACCACGTTGGGGACTACTGAGCTAGATCAACCTAGACACGTCTGTTTAATCTGCTCTTAAATATCTCCAGAGATGGAGATTCCATAACCTCCCTAGGCAATTTATTCCAGTGTTTAACCACCTTGACAGTTAGGATGTTTTTCCTAATGTCCAACCTACAGCTCCCTTGCTGCAATTTAAGCCCATTGCTGCTTGTCCTATCAGCAGAGGCCAAGGAGAACAATTTTTCCTCCTTGTAACACCCTTTCGGATACTTGAAAACTACTATCATGTCCCCTCTCAGTCTTCTCTTTTCTAAACCAAACAAGCCCAATTCTTTTAGTCTTCCTCACAAGTCACATTTTAAATCATTTTTGTTGCTCTTCTCTGGACCTTCTCCAATTTCTCCAAATCTTTCTTGAAATGTGGTGCCCAGAACTAGGCACAATAGTGTCCCATCTTAGACATGTCAACACAGGGTGAAAACTACTGTCCTAGGTGAAGAATGGGCATTAAGAAAAACTTGTCAGGGTGGTTAAACACTGGAATAAATTGCCTAGTGGGGGCTGTGGAATCTCCACCACTGGAGATATTTAAGAGCAAGTTAGACAGACACCTGTCAGGGATGGTCTAGATCAGTGTTTCTCAACTTTTTTTTTACCCCCCAGTACCTACAGTTTTCAGACACACAGTTTTTCTACCCTTGCAACAAACACATTTGTTTAAGCAACTTAATCGTAGCCAGGCAGGTAATGAAATCTTTGGGTGTTAAAAGTACAAAAATAATAAAGGAGCTGTAAAACTTAAAAACAAAAATTCAGTTCTCCACATTTCAGTTGTGTTGACATACCCCCCTTTCCACACCAGGCTTCACAAGGGAACTCCTACCACTGGTTGAGAACCACTGGTCTAGATGGTGCTTGGTCCTGCCAGGAGGGCAGGGGAC